AATCTCGAGATCATAGAATCTACAGATAAGATAACACTCTGATATTAACTTAGATAAAATAACCCCAACTGATATTAAATAGTTGGAACTAAAACTTCCAACTAGATTCACTCGATCCATCGTCTTATCCTACGTGCACTTCTTTCAAAGGGCTTCTTGATTAAAAATATGTCGTCGAGGCTGAAATACTTATTCCGTGCGTTTATCGTGATCTAATATCACGTTGACGGTCTAACTTTAGTATGGAAAGTTTGCTAGTGGAACGAGACGAGATTGAAGCGAACGCATCCTGGCTACGAAAATGTAGCGGCAGTCTAAAATAAAAGCTGGAGATTCACGGCGCAGTTGGCACATGGGTCGATTAATACTCGTATTAATAGTCGGCGTATCAGAGGCCAGTGTCCGCCGCTGTACATCAGTAGTATGAGCTTGAAAATATTCGAAGGTTCGGAATTTTTCACATTTTGCGGCGAACGTTTCGAACGCGGCATATTAGTTACGATACACGTAACACAAAATACCCGGGCCGCGGGGATATAGTTCGATATGTGTTACGGGTTTATCGAGGAATCTTCCCGGCGCATTTGCCGCGCTGTATCGCCGCATATTTTAGGTCAACGGATCTCTCCACCGTTCAAACCTCCTCGCTATTTTATTCCTTACTGTTACGCGGCACAAAATTGCGAGCCAGCTCCTCGGGTATTTCGTCGAAATTCGTGCGAAGTGTAATTAAAACGTGGGGCGGCACAGACAGACTCGTCTACGTCCAACTATTGGAAATTTTTTCATTCGTCTCTCGACGCTAAAAAAATATTCGAACCTCGCATTTACCTTTCGATTATCATTCTCGAGTCAGCGTTCTTTTTAGCGCTAAGCTATTATGTTATTAATCCTTTCGCTGTAGTCTAATTGACCGTGTGCCGCGAGTTTTATGCCGCCGGGCAACTCACTTTTAAGCTCATATTCTCGTGACGCGACGATTTGTCAGAGTTTCTCGACTAAATTCGTCGTATCGGTTGCGGTATGACTGGATTTCCCACTAAATTAGCGAAGTCGTGGAAAAGCAGCCGATGTCCCATATCTTGAAAGCATCGGCAAAGCCTATCGTTATAGCCGCGAACGCTCCATTTGCGAAAGCTGAGCCGCTTCTGAAGGATTACGGTCGCGCGCATCCTCCAATATTCACGATAATGGCAGCGTGACGTAGAAACGCCGCGGAGTATTCACCGATCATATCGCGTGCAAATAGAATATACGACGAGCGGTTCCTAACCATTCGGTTTCAAAAAATTCGAAGGATCTCCAGTAATTTCGAATTCATCGGTTCGTCTCTATTTCACATAGCGCCAATTTTTAAAACTCCACGTATTAAAACGCAAGCATCGCTTCTATGATCTACGACGATCAGACGATTCTGACCCCTGTCTACACCCACTCTAACTCTTTAAACTTTCAAATCCGTTTTTAACGCTGTTAAATAGCCAACGACAATAGGCTACGGTTCTGGTTGGCATTAGCTAAGTCAGAACGCCACCCACGTTATTCCAGTCGCCGAATTTACACCGCGTGGGTGTCCCTGCACCTGACACTGTACGTGTGTTTCGCTCATGAAATAAATTAACACCACGCCAGTCAACCCGATGACGCCCGTCACTTGGAACATCTTCTTCCTACTTCAATGAACCATTAAAAATAGTAAGCGTCACAGGTGTGCGCCAACTTAACAAACCGATGTCTAGTCACGCTTTCCTCGACATACATTTAATTACGGCTAATTGCACCATTAATATATTCGCTTAACAGGGAATTATGGTAGGAATAACCATCGAATCCAATCCGAATTATCGGAGCAGATAGCGCGCACGTCTTTCCTTGGGACGAACGCCATTAATCTCTTCCCGAATGATCGATGCCTGATCTCCCGTGTCGAATTTTAGAAGTAATTGCGCTCACGCACAAAGAGAACGATCAAGAAAAATATCCATCGTCCTCGTGACGTGATCAGAATATAAAGAATCCGAAACTTGATATAATTTGTGAAACTACTCATAAAATCTTACACCTCTATCTGTTTATTTCCTCTATGGAATTATTTCGACTAAGCGTTAGAGCAATCAACCGTAGGATCTGAATACCCAGCGGTGAATGATACAATGAAAAGCTGACACCGCGATTTAGCCAACTCGCCAACTCCTTGGTAGTTGTAGAGAGCCGGTAGCGGATATTTTCGTTGATTTGCAGTAATAGGTATAAGCCTCGGCACATTCGGAGCTCCAGCTCGACCTATTGAATTAATAGCTTTAGAAAAATAGAGGAACGTTGCATGTTGGAAAACGAGAGAAATACTTAGATCGCCATTGTGTACTCCTCGCGTTCTTCGTACATCACTCATACCCATCGATTGCATTAACGTTAACGATTCTGGTGTGCAATTTTGATGCAATACAGTCGTGTGGGTAGTCCAGAAGAAACTAACGAGTGGTAGAGTTTCGTTTAGCTCGAATCTAACGATCGACGAGAGAAACTAACCGATCATAGAGAGCTTAAGTCATGGGCGCCATTAATACGACGAGTGGGTCGTAGTAAACAGGGCAAGTCATCATCTTGGAGATCGTAGCGCATCGTAGTCACAAAGCTCGATTATCTTTCCCTCGTTCGATCCACGGAATCTCCGTGCCCTTCGCTCGGTAATAAAGGAAGTCCGCGAAGAAAGAGTTAATCGCGACTTCCTGACTGTCGACGGAGCGCGAAAAAAAGGGACGGTCCCGGCTGTAAAATTACAACGTGCTCCCCTCCCTTCTTCTAAGTTTTAATCAGAACTGCGCGCGAGAGAGTAGACCTACTTTTTAGCTACTCTGACCAAACCTACGCGATTCGTCTGACCTTTCGCCTATGTCACGTTGTCTGAAGGTTAACGACAATCACGTATTGTCCGTGCCACTTTGTTCGCGATATCAACAGCGAGAGTGCGAACGCGCCACGGCAATTCCGTCGTCGGTGCACACGGGGACCATTAATAACGCTCGAGAAATCTGCTCACCGATCTCTCGTTGTTTCATCTTCTAATGAAATTGCTTCTGAATTACCTTGACAAGGAGCAAGCACGGAGAGCCAGCGACGCGTTCAACTTATGACGAAAGGATCTCAACGACGGTTATCGTCATGAGAAATCTCCAAAGTGTTTTAACTCGAAATACATTCGGAGCACTGGTACGGCGAATCTCAGATTTCAGCGAGCTTGCGGGTATCCTACAGCCTTTCTGCAAGAGTTAAAACACTTTCATAGAAAGGCTGCGGGATACCCGCAAGCTCGTTGAAATCTGAAATTCACCGTACCAATAACCGCGCTTCGAATGTATTTCGTTTTCTTTGAAGTATATTTCGGGCTTTTCGTTGCACGCAACAATGGCCCGTTGCCGCTTTCTTTGTCCCATTATGCCTCTTCTGACGCTTTCGTCCTTTCTCCGTGCGCCAGACGACTTTTAAGGTGGATTCAGTCTTCGCGATGTGCGGATTTGGTTGACAATGGCCGCTGTTCAAAAGTAGCACGCCAAGACGAATCGTTTAAATTTCGATTTAAACGCGAATACTCGAGTATTATTATATATATTATATTATCCTCTGCCGCTTTTTTTAACACGCGCGAGAACATAGACGATTCATAATCCTTTCTAGAACTCAACAGGCGCTAGAACTATCACGATGTATTTATAAACTTTTAAATTAATAATTGTCGACGGAAGTTTCTATTCGCGACGATGTATCTTTCTGCATTCGACCGATTCTTTCTCAAGTATATGGATAAAACCTTGTTTATTCGCTTCTATTTCAGCCCTCGGTAGTCTCAGTGTTAAGACGAGAAGATCTCATTTAAAAAGCGCCGCGTCTAATCCACTTTGCGATATTTAATCAAGAAACCACGGCAAAGTTGATTGCGAAGCCTCCTTCAGAGTCGAACACACCTAACCAGAATTTCGCAAGTTTCAAATTTTCGAGATCAACGTTCCTTTCAAAGCGCGAAACGTAATCGTTATCGAAAAGCGTAACGAGCGTGAAGAAGTATCGGCTAAGGACGCGGCACAAAGAGACTTTCGACGAGCGAAGTATTCCATCGCGAACATGTACGTCTTCGTTGATTCTAATTGACGCTTGTGTCATACACAAACAGCATGCACTACGAATAGATATTTAATGCTCAAACGAAGCTTTCAATGGGACACTACGGGTTCGGTTAGACGTTGGTAGCGCGTGCAGCCGCCTCGGTTATTATCCCCTGTTAACTACAGTGGAAATATTAGGTCGTTCGATATACTCGTGCTGCGATGTGTATATATGCACTCTTTGGCTGTTTTATAGGCACAAAACGATAAACGTGCGAGACGATTAATCTTATGTAATGAAATTTAGTCTACAGATGCCGTTTTAGAGAAATAAATTCACGTATCGTGATTTTTCGCCATTGTCCAATTGCGTTATCCTGTAAGAAAATTCGATAATCGAATACGTGAAAAGTAAAGGAAATAATTTATCGTGCACGAATAGTTAACTCCAACAGCGTGGCGCCATTGGTGGATATCGTTAGTTGAGTAGACGCGAAAATATAAAATTCATAACGAATCAAATGAAAGAAACGGTTTATCGATTTAAAAGGCATTTATTAAAGTTCTGAAGGTTTCATATCGATTTGGTAATTTAAGGAAAATGAAAATAATACGAAAGTTGAAAGCTTATAAATACTGAAGAGATAAGCGGCGCGAACTTACTATTTAAATCTTTGATATAATCGTTCGACCATTTATTTCCTGTCAATTTTCTATCAACGGATTAACCTAAATTTCGCAATTTGGAAAAAATTGAGAGAAGAAAATGGTATCGAGGCGCCTGCACGAATTTCTGCTCTAGCCTCGTGGCAACCTCTAGTCTTAACGAAGCTTTCGAGACTTTTAAGAGGCTTCTAGTAATAATTCGAAAGCGTGACAAGCTGTGACACAATCACTTACCAGTTCTCCAATATGCCGACGTTTGAGAAGTTTGGCGGAAAGCTCGCGGCCGCCATCGGTGGACGCGGCTGTATCCTGTCTGTCCTGTCACTACCGGGACTGTTCACGGCTCCGTTGCGTTGCTGAAACGGAAGCAAAACGACCCATTAAGCTTCTAAAAAGCGAAGAATCTTTTAAAACCGTTATTAGCACGATGTTTGCAAGATTTTCGGTTAAAAGTACTGCCCTCATGGACAACGACCTAGGACGCGGAATTCTCGCTGATTCGTGAGGAAAGGTTTCATGGATGCTCGTTAGAGAGAAGAGAAGAAAATTGACGGGTATAGTTAGAAGGGATGTCCGCGATACATTTTCCATTTAGCACTTAAAGCGTCGTTGGGAGATACTCGCGGAGGGGTGGCATACAGCCGCGACGAGAACTCGCGCCTTCCACGCTCTTCCTTTCTCGCATTATTATCTCACTACTTTCGGCTGGGTCTGCGTCGCACCGGCACCCGGTATCGGTAATGAACGATCTATTGTGCTGGTAGGTGCTCTTTCAGACAGCAAAAGAGACGAGGTAAGGGAGGCGGGGGCAACTGGAGAACGAGAACGAAAACGAGAAAGAAAGAGAGAGAGAGAGAGAGAGAGAGAGAAAGAGAGAGAGAGCGATGGCATAGAAGAGGTATGAAAACGGCACTCGTTAATGGATTCCTACCAGACTCTTTCACCCGGTTTCTCCCTTTTCCTCCGTATCGGTGGATTTCTTCCTCTCTCTCTCTCTCTCTCTCTCTCTCTCTCTCTCTATTCCTTCGTTCCCTCACCTACTTTTATTTTTCCACCACCCGTTTCCTTCTCCCTTTCTCCACCGACTCCGCATTCCTTTCTTTTCCAAGGGCCGGTTTTTATCTCGCGTTTTGCCCCGTTCTCCGTACGTTTTAGAGTCGTTCCTTCTCCGACGGCCGCTATTTTCTCGCTTTCAAATCGCGTCGTTTCTTTTTCCCCCGAGCCGGGGAGCTTTTACCCAGCCGAACCAATAGCTAGCCGGGAAAGAGTTGTTACACGTGTAAGCTCAACTTCGTCCTTGTTGCGTGTATCATTATCGCGCGGCTACCTGATTGTCTGCCGGCTACGTCCTCGGAAAAAGCCGGCTGAGCAAGATAAATAGGCAGATACGAGGGCTGGATGGATCGCTTTATTATGCTCAGTTAGCGGGTCCACCGTGAACCGAGCCGACGACAGAAACACAGGGGAGGATTCTCTGTATCGTTGAAACACACGCGGAGACCGGGCAAAGGGGTGGAGAATAACGGAGAAGAATCGCGCGAAGAGAGTCGCAGTAGCCGAGCATAAAGAACCGACAGACTAAAAGAGAAGGGTGGACGCATCGAAAAAGAGAAAGGAAACGTAGAAGAGAAAAGACAAAGTAGAATAGGACGACAAAGAAGATTATGGATACCGTTAGCGAGGATAGAGAGAGGAAGATTGATGTAGAAAGATAGAGCGTTCGAGTAGGTGGAAAAAAGGGCGACGAAGACGAGGGGGAAGAAGAGAAAATTGTTACCGAGAGGAACCTTTCTAGGCAATGCTTCAGGCTGGTCTCGTACGCGGTCTATTGTTCTGCGTTCGGACTCGGTCGATATCGCGTTAAAATTGCAACGAGATTCCATTTTCGAACGACCATCATCGCAACGAATCGATGTCTGCCCGGTGAATCGCTTCTCGTCACTTTTTTTCAACTTAAGTCTTTTCGTTTAGACGGTTCAAGAGTAAAATGTAAAATTGGAAACCATCGGAGAACACGATAGATTACCATTCATTTCAGCCAGATTTTTCTTTGACTGGTTAAATGAAAACGATTTGCAACTAGGTATTCGCAGTCGCTAAACGTTCGCGAGAAACAAACGCGCGAAGAGCTTTCTACATAAACCTTTCAAAGGGTGGTTGGCAATTCAAGAACGTCGAAATAGATTTCACACGAGCAGCATGCAAATTCCACGCAGCCTGGAATGTTTGTCGGCGCGATCCAAATTAACCGACTAATGGGGAAATTATTTGGCAGATTGCTCTATCCTACGTCATAACAAATGGATCATCCACGAATTTCGCGAGAAATTCGTCGTGTTCGGGATCGTCTTGGAGGAGAAGCATTAATCCTGGATCAGCGTGGAACAAGCTTAAATCGATCGAGACGAATTCCTTCTCTGTATCAAATTCGAATCATCCTACGCGAAAGTTCCCCTAATCGCATTCGAATTCTTCGAAAATTTTTACAAAACAAAAAAGAAAGAAAGAAAAGAAAATAAGAAATACACCGTGTTTCTGCCAAAAAAATCAAGAGTCTACTTAATATCGCGACAATTGATAATTTTGAAATATTTACGAGGATTGGACTCCAAGTGTTTGCAACAATACCATCTTTTCCTGCGTTTCAATTTATGGAGTTGGGTGTGGAGTGTGTCTTCTGAACGGTTCGAATAGTATTATAACATTAAATCGAGTATTAATACTTTCGCGATATGCTATGGATATCGTCGCACGTTGACGATAGATCATCGATCGTAAGGCCGATCGTAAGCGAAAAGTTGGAAAGCGAGCGTGGAAAAGCTCGAAGAGCCGAGTTCTCGTCGATGAGTGGACCGAAAACGGGGCTTGAAGGGGGTGGTACTAATTAGCGGGAACATCGGAGAACGCTGGGAACGCGAGAAACGGGGCGACTGGATGGAGAAAGCGACAGCCACGAAATTCGTTGTCATCGATCGCCGGCATTGTCCGCCGCCATTGTTTGTCGGCTCGCGCGTCGTTGATAAGGGTTGCGATTCGCGTTTCGTGGCATTATCTTTGGAGGATAGTTGGCGAAACGGGGGAGGCTTCTTTGTTCGAGTCATGGTTCATCGATCGCTTTGAAACGCGCGCGCTCGACTTCCGGAATTAATTGGAGAACATTGTGTCCAATCGGGGAACGCCTAGTCGAGCCTTTTTGGATTCGATAGGTTTTATCATCTGTCATTACGAGTCATTCCAACAACTAAATCTAATCCTCGAATAGCGAAGGCTGGTCACATTCTGGTCTCACGTTTCTTCTAATCCAAGTTATATTTACTTTTGTCATTCTACCAAACTTTGAGTAATAAATCGAGCGATTGTATGAGAATTTTTTCATACGATAAAATATTTATGATCAGCCTTCTCTGGTCAAGGATTAAACATTGAACAAATAATAAAAGGGATCCGATATTCTTTTTTTGGCTTTGATTATCCGAAGAAGTATTTACCGAAGTAAAAGTAAAACGGTAAGCAAGATAAGGAAAAGACGACAAGTTTCTAGACAACGCTGTGTTCGTGATGGATTCACAGCGTTCGATGCGATCTCGGGGTAATAATTCGAATTCTCCATAACTCGGTTCGGAACTCATTTGCGTGTATCCTCGCTGGACCACCAACTTCCGAAACGAAGTTCTATCGATCGAACGACACGCATACATGCAAACACGTACATCGAACTGCGCCCGTTTTCGGATTAATTAACATCCTAGGAGACGATCCATTGCATATGGATGGAACGAATCCATTCGTGGATGAGAAGGTTTTCTTCTTCTTCTATGTACGTACATCTAAAATGTATACTTACATCGACTACATCGACTGATATTTAAGAATCGAGTATGTTTCATACGACCTTCGTACGATCAAAAACCAGCCAAAACCTACACAAAAACGGTGCAAAATGACTCAACGGATCGCAGCTGTTATACCGGAAAGTTAATGTATCGCAACATCTTGATAATTCTATTCTTATTATAGATATAGTAGCGTAGGAAAACTGGCAGCTATCCAAATGAAACATCTGATCGGCCCAGTTCGAAATAGATGATCTACGGGAGGTGAAAATAGCCAAATGAGAAGTCTTTGAATTTCCAAATCGTTCGATTTCGTGACATTTAGGAAAAATGCTATGTTCCATCGAATTACTAAATTACAGGGGAATATTACGCGAAGATTGTACGGAAATTAAATATTTGCCTGAGCGCGATGATCGATCGAAGGACGAAAACGTAGAGTAAAGTGTAACGAAGCGTAAGATTTCGTTTGGAAGCATAGCGCCACGATGTCTGACCACTATGTTCCCTGTCTACTTACTCCTACTCCGTTGCGTCACGCGACTCTGAACAATCCCCACCGTGGCTATCAGCACACTACCGAATAGCTTCATAGACCGAGGTATCCAAACCGAGTCGAGAATCCCATCAGGACACGTTTCGACGATCTTCCATCAAGACGATCGAACAACGATCATCAATTTGCCACTTTGCTTCCATTCAAGGATGGTTAGAAACTATCAGCGTTTTGCGAAGTGAGCGATAAATGGAAGTACAATGGTTTAACATCATCGAAATTAGCGTGAAATACGTTGTTTCTAGATCTCTGTAAGCAATTACGTTGCCTCGGGCTGAATTAATAAGTTGCGACTGTGTAATAACTTGACGTAAGATTCAGGATAAATGATTTAGAAAATGATCGTTTCCTTATTAATCCGCAACTAGTACGATAGTCGTTCTAAATTACCACTGAAATAAGAGTTCCTAGGCTTTCATACACCTCATCTTATCGGTTGTAAATTAAAAAAATTTCAATCGGATCTCGAATTATCCAAACAACTTTTTAAAAATATTCTAACATAAAGCGGGCAGACAAGGCGGTTAACCATCGACGTACGATAAGACAATCGATCGAAAAAAAAAAAATGTCAAGAGCTGTGATTCGTAAGAATCGAACCGGTACTGCCACTGCTACTCGAGCAACCTTTCACCAATAGCGCGTTATTGCAGCAGGCCGATTATTATTTTCCTAGCGCAGAGAACTTTCAGACCAGTTATCGATCACATCTAACACACGAGTACACAACCTCCTTGCAAACTTAATATTCTCGACGAACTCGTTCTTAGAAGGACGAGAGATTACGTTAGTATACGATTCCTAAAATCAATGAACGAAAAGAATCTGCGAAAGAACCAAATAGAAAGTTCGCGCGAGTGCATAGACTCGCTATTATATGCGGCTAGAGGCTTTCTCGCGGGGATTAGTTATCGTCAATCGATGGTTCGATCTCCAAAGGATGTTGCATTAAGTGACGCAGTTAAGT